TGCATAATTGCCTAAATGTGGCAAATGGCCTGTAATATCTATCCAGTGAAATGGGTCCCTCATTCGCTATGAAGTTACAAGGATGTTTTCCAGTGGGGAATAATCTTTTCTAATAGGATTTTTCCTATTGCTTAAGCTGCTGTCTGTGACAAGGGAAAGCTTCTACCCAGTGAGAAAACCTACAAACCATTACTAGAACATATTTCTTTTTGCAACGGTGGCAACTAGATGAAATCTAATTGCCACATCTCAAAGGGCCCAGAGGGCAAAGGCAAAACTCCCTTTGAACTATGAAGGGGTTTCCAGGGTTATGTTTAGGGCAAATCTGACATTTTTCATAAATTTGAGGGGCTATTTTTTAAAATTATTTGAGAGAGAGCATGAGCAGGGGGAGGGGGAGAGGAAGAGAGAATCTCCAGCAGACTCCCCTCCCCGCTGAGCATGGAGCTCAACGCACGGCTCGATCTCACGATCCTGAGATCATGATCTGAGCTGAAATCAAGAGTCTGAGGCTCAACCGACTGAGCCACCCAGGTGCCCCTTGAAGGGCTATTTTTAGAGATGGTTTCCAAAAATACATTTTCCCAAAGGACCATCTTGCCAATATTTCAATGATTAAGTTCATGAATATAATTAAGAATTTGTTCTTGGAGGCAATCAGGGAGGACTGGTCTGCTGTTTGACCCATACCAAAGATTTCATTCAGGCTGAAATCAACAGCCTTGATTAGACCATTTTTGATCCTTTCCTGAGGCAATTTCTTGGGCCTCTCTAAGTGTTTCTTTAAGCTTTTTGGTAAAGTCAGTAGGTAAAAGTGGATTATAATTTCCAAAGGCAGCCTGTTGGGTGGCTACATTCCCCTTTGCTTCCTCCATGTTTGCCACTGAATGATCAGGAATATTGATAATGACTAAAGCCTTAGGGTTTTGTATAGAATCCAAGCCAAGAGTTCCAAGATATAACTATTTTTCAAAATCACGTATAATACCAAAAGTACAGTGGCTGTCAATATAAATGTTAATGATTTGTCCTTCTGCCAATGTCAGAGGGTCAGCAGGGGGTGGGGTGGGGCTCAGGTTAAGGTGAATAATTCAGCCTGTTGAGCTGAGGTGGCTGCAGAGATAGGTCCTGCTTCAATATTTCCTGTTAGGGAGACAACTGCATAACCAGCTTGCTAGTTTCCGGTTTTATCTTTAAGGTAAGAACCATCAATAAGCCAGACCTAAGTCTGCACGTTCAAGCGGTAGCTCCGGTAAATCCTGTCTTGGCACTAGGAGTCTGTCTGTTAGAAGATGCAGTCACCAGAAGGTAAAGGCAGCAGAATAGTAGGATTTTTTTTTTTAAATACCTTTTTTTTTTAAACAAAGATTTATTTCAGAGAGAGCAAGTGAGCATGAGTGGGGAGGCAGAGGGAGAGAGAATCTCAAGCAGATTTCCTGCTGAGCGTGGAGCCCAACGCAGGGCTCAATCCCACGACTGTAAGCTCATGACCCGAGATCAAGAGTCGGACGCTTAGCCGACTATGCCATCCAGGCGCCCCAGGATAGTAGGATTTAAGGAATGACAGCACGCAGCAATAATATTTGGGGGTGATAGCAGAAGAATTTTGTGAGAGGTTAATCTACTGGAGGCTGAGTGCTGAAGGAGAGAGAACATACATAGTCAGTATGAACCCATGATCATTTCTTCTGCGTTCTCCAGTAATTCACACCTGCAGCTGTAAGCGCTCATGCGGGGTGGCAGTCCCTTGGCTGTGGCAATAGGAGCCCATAGGCCTGTACTGGTCCCCATCTCACTGGGTTAGAACCCCACGGGCATTCCCTTCTCTTTCAGGGGTGAAGAGAAAGAATGGTAGGTCATAGTTTGGGTGTCCCAGGGCTGGAGGATTCAAGAGGCCATGCTTTATTTTTATGAAGGCTTCTTGACTTTCTTGGTCCCAAGTAAGGGGGCGGGGTCAGGTTTGTCAGAGTTGAAAAGAGAGAAAAGCAGTCGGGCCAAGACTAGAAATTGAGCTATCCAATTTCTACAGGATCTAGCTAAGCCCCCAAATCTGCGTAGCTGGTGTCTGGAGGTAGGCAAGACAACAGTCCCTGGACTCTATTTGGATCAAGGAGTAATCCCTGATTTGAACTATGGTGTCCAAGTATTTAACCTGGGGCAAATAAAATCGCAGTTTTTCCCTAGACACCTTACATCCCTTTTTAGCCAGGGCCTTTAGAAAGTGAAGGCTATCTTCAGTACAAGCCTCTTGAGAAGGAGAACAAAGAAACCGGTCATCCACATACTGTAACAGGGAAGAGCCTTCAGAGAATTCTATGTCTAAAATGTCTGCTTTCGGGGCACCTGGGTGGCTCAGTTGGTGGGGTGTCTGCCTTTGGCTCAGGTCATGATCCCGGGGTCCTTGGATTGAGCCCCATGTCGGGCTCCCTGCTTGGCTTCTTTCTCTCCCTCTGAAGCTCCCCTGCTTGTGCACATACTCTGTCAAATAAATAGAAATCTTAAAAAAAAAAAAAAAAGTCTGCTTTCAGCATTTAGAAAAATAAGTGGGGCTTTCAGTGTAGCCCTGTGGCATAAAAGTTTATGCATACTGCCCTTCCCAGATGAAGGCAAATAACAATGGGCTTTCAGGGTCAACAGGTATGCTAAAGGCACTGCAAGGGTCTACAGTGGTAAAAGTTTTGCTGTTAGGAGGAATGGCTATGAGCAAGGTGTGAGGACTGGGTATTACAGAGTGCTGAGGAGTAACAATATTATTGATTTCCCTGGGGTCCTGTACAAACTTCAATCCTCTTCCGTGTGGTTTACAGACAAGGAGGATGAGGGTGTTACAGGTTTCTGTAAACAGTCCTCAATGGTAGGTTTAATTCCTTGGATGGCCTTAGTACGTACTTTTTATCAATTTACATTTTGATGGGCAGTGCAATGGACGTACCTGATACTGGTTGTGTCTCAGGGACGGAGCTAGGAGAGGTTCTGGGGAGGGGTTTTAGAGAAAGGACGGGGATTTAAGGTTTTGGGATTTTCCTGAAGATTTGGATTTCAGGGTTCCGTATTTAAAAATATTTCAGCCTTTTGTGAAAAGGAGATGTGTGCCTGATGGTCTTCAAGATAATCTCGACCTAGTGAGTGAATGGGAGCCAAAGGAGTCGGGAGAAATGGATGTTTCTGAATAGGTTCCAGCTGGAATGGGATGGGAAAAGATTTAAAACAGTCATAGAGTGATTAGAAACCCCAAACAATTGTACGGTTTGAGGAAGGGGACCGAAGACGCTGGTTGGGTCTAAAACTGGTAAGTAAAGCCCTAATAGAGAGAGGGGATTTTCCCTCTCCTCCAAACCAATACTTTGGGAGAAACTGATCTAACTGATCTAACTATGGGGGGTACAGAGATAAAGTTGCCTCCATAAGTCCTCAGAGCAGCTCTACTGTTGAGATTGGTGAAAGGATCCTTTCCCTGGGGTACTTGAAATGGAGACAGGGAAGGTTGACTAACCTTGCCTTGGGTCAATCTTCTCAGTTTTAGGCAATCTGTTTTTAAATGTTCCAGCTTTTTATAGTAATGACAGGTACCTTTTGGAATAGTGCCACAACCCTGAATGGGCGTTTACTTTGGTTAGTTCTTAACTGTTGGAACTAAAGGTTCATAATCTAGGTGGCTTTCTTTTTATTAGTCTCTGAATAAGGTCAAGCTAGTGGATTGGCAGATTAACAAGATCAGGAGTTTGCATAGTCCGCCAATTTAAATAAACTCTCTTTATGAGGAACGACAGTTCTTCAACTAAGCCATCAACAAAGATGGAATTAAAAATGGTATAAGTGGTTTGATCGATAGCAGAAAGGCCAGAGTTTTTGGGAAAGATCGTCTCTAGTTGGTTAAAATGATTGAGAACAGATTCTTCAGGTTTTTGAATACACTGTTGAATTTTTTTCCCCTATCTGTGGATTTTGGGAAAGCCTTAGGAATAGTTTCAGAGTCTCTTTCTCACTTAAAGGGCTTCTGTTCTGTCAGTGGCTCTCCATTTGGAGAAATCATCTAGTGTTACCTCAACTAGATGCATGCAGTTCCTAGCCTGTCCTCCATCAACTAGGATTATGATTAGTTGATTTAAATCAGAAAAAAAAAAAGTTCGTATGTTTGGATCACAATGGCAAATTCCTCAGCAAATTTATAAAGATCTTCAGTGGCTTTGGGGAATTCTTCAGCTGTGGTCCATAATTCAGCTTTTGACCAGGAGGGAAGGAAGTCTAGGCAACTCCTGCTTCCCCAGGCTTAACCTTAGATGGGGCAGCAATAAGATGGGGGTAAAGGGGAGCTTTAGGTCCCATAGGATCTGGAGAGGGGTGAGGGTCTCCAGCGTATAAGGGATGTTGAGCTGAGGATGGATATAGAGTAAAAGGAGATGGAGTGGTGGGTGAGTGTGAAGGAAGGGGAAGTTTGTCAGGATTTGGCCTGTTTTTCTAATTTTGGAAGCCTCTTGGAAAGATCCGAATTGGAAGCTAACTGCCTGAAGGGAAGCAAACTTCTCAGTTTTTCTTTTTAAGGCCTCTAGATACCAATTAAAAGAAGCTTTCCACTGGCTTTGTTTGGCTTTATAGCCTTTTTCCAATTGTGCATGCAAGTGAACTAATTTTTGCCCCATCATAGCCAGTGGAGTTTTAAATCATCCCAGGTAATAGGAGTCCAACAGGGCAAAAATTTACAGCAGGAAGGACCATATTCTTTAAACATAAAACCTGCAGGAGTCCCAGAAGAGGGTTGGTCATATAAGCCCTTCTTAGAAGCAGGATTTCCCATGAGTTAGTACTCAGAAGACTACTAAACAGGAATCTTCCACTAGGAAACGTGAAGACAGAATCCTCTCCAATATGAGTGAGGATGGAAGCCAGCAAGACAGAACACCCAACTAAAGGCCTAAACCTCGAGGTTCAGGACCAAGAGGACTTAACCACCATGACCCAAAGCCACTGAGGAGATGCATGAAAGAGACTCTTTTAGGTACCTCACTCAAATCCATGGCGGTGCTGGAGATGGCGACTGGTCACTTTGGACGTCACTCCTGACACCATGTAATATTGAAAGGCAGAACTGCAATCTGCAAAATAAAATTTGTACGTTTATTGGGGGTCTTGGGATTTGCAATCTGGGAGACAGAGTCAACTGAAATCAAAAGTGTGCTCTGGAGAGACAAAGCTGAGGGTTTTTAAGGAGGAAAGAGGGCATTTACATAAGTTGTTTTGAATGAAATGTGACTGGTTGTTAAGAGTAGTGCTAGGTGGAAAGTCCATTTATGTTCAATTCTTTTTTAAAGATTTTATTTATTTTAGAGAGAGCATGTGCCTGCATGTGAGCAAGGGGAGGGAGGGGGAGGGAGGGTCAGAGCGAGAGAGAGAATCTTAAGCAGGCTCCACGCCCCCAATGCAGGGTTTGATCTCATGACCCTGAGACCATGACCTGAGCTGAAATCAAGAGCCAGACACTTAACTGACGGAGCCACCCAGGCACCCCCATTTATGTTCAGTTCGAACATGCAGCAGATGCCTTGGCTTTTAGCTGAAGTCAGCACCAATTCTGAGAGTTTGAGACAGGAAACATAGGTCCCACTTTTTCAGTGTCCTCCTGACTCCATTTTAAATTACTCTCTTAGCAATGTTTGCTCCATTTTATTCTCTGTTATCAAATGGAAGAACTTTCTTCCAGTGACTATCTGGATTCCTTCTCTTATTCTGAGTCCTTTTAAGAGGCAATATAAAGTCAGATCTGTACCTCTGAAACAAATAATGCAATATATGTTAAGAAAAAAAAAAAAAAGAAGAAGAAGAAGAAGGTAGCAGGAGGGGAAGAATGAAGCGGGGGAAATCGGAGGGGTAGACGAACCATGAGAGACGATGGACTCTGAAAAACAAACTGAGGGTTCTAGAGGGGAGGGG